TACAAATCGTGGAGAGTACTTGTGCTTGAGGGTGTTTCTCGGCTTTTGAACTTTTTACAGGCAGCCGGTTTGAATAAGGGTTTATGGATGGCGAGTGGCAAGGTTACTCGTTAGGTGTTGCAACATCCGCAGTCACACTGCCCCTGCCCTGCCCTTGCCCCTGTTCCGGATTCAGAATTCGCAGGTGAGAAGCCTGCCAAATTTTGTCCCATGTATCCATTAATGGGAAGACAAAGTAAGGAATGTAGAATTCGCACATGTTTTGTGCGGAAATTGCCAATTAGTAAAGTGTGCGAGTTGGAGAACTTACTCCACATGACTTTTTCTTTGTATCTTATTATTAAGTAGCTGGCTGAGACTGAGAATAATCTAATGAGTCTTCGTACAACTCGATATGTACAATTGTCGATGCATCTTAATGCCTTATTTAATGGTATCTGCAAGTTAACTTGGCAATTTTGTGCCAAGAAATATATGTATGTTCTTATGGTAATGGCATGTTTTAGTGTTACAATTTATGTATGCTTTATATCTATTTACATCTGTACGTAGTTTATTCTATTAGCTTCTTCTATTACATCTTAAAATATTTAATAAAAGAAGAGATTTAAGAATAATGTGGGAGAGTCAAGACATTGCTGCTTATGGAAGATCACGTTGGGTGGGATTCTGTCTACATTTTTTTTAGCTTTAGCTTTGTAAAAAGATTTTTAGTATATACTATAAACTAATGTCATTACTGTTGCTCTAGCTTGTGATTTTGAGAGGCTGGAATGACATTGGCCATTAACCCGCCTAATGCCATTTTGTGCACCCTAATTATTATCGAGAACACACAGGCCAATCGAGTCTGTGTGGGAACGTATGTAGCTTCGGTATAAAGTGCATAATTAAGAGGGGACATCTTCAAGGTAGCTTGTTTGCAGTGTCCAGTGGCCCAGGCAAGGCTGCACATTCTCGGCCGTTGAATGGCAATGGGAATCATCTGCTGCCTCGTCTGCTGTTGTTGACTCTTGCTTAATAAAGCAGCACTTAGTGTTTGATGGCGGCCCGAGGCAGATCCTCTTGCCCCATACCATGTCCTCCCCCAGCTCTGGCGGCTACTTAAACTCTTCCATTTGTGTGGGTGCAGGTGTGTGTGATTGGGTGTGGCTGCGAGTGTGTTGCGGCTGTGATGCAGTTATGCTCATTTCCGCCTGAGTAGTTTCCGACTTTGCTTTTGCTTACATCTACTTCTGCATGCGGGGGCACACGCACAGACACTTGAGTATATGTTTACTGGCGGGGGGTAACTTGGGAGGGTAGTACGAAAAGTTTCCAGCCAAGCAACTAAGACATTTTTGCACCATAGCCTACTGCTTATTCTTCGACCCATTTTCTTCTCGGTACCAAATCCTTCTAGAATCAGACAGCTAAACAGACTGACATTAACTTTGCTGAAGCCTTTGAATTTATATTAAACAGACTATATTTCTTATATAAATATATGGTTTTCAATATATATTATTGGTCAGCATCCTTCTAAGCAACATTCATTGGTCTAAGTGAGGTCTTCAGGTTCAGCAAACTTCTTGAATGACCCACTTGCATATATGCAATCGCCTGAGCATAAACAACAACAGGGACAACAAAAACAACAACAGCAGCAACTAGAACACACACACACACTCTTGTCACTCATTCACTCAGTCAAACTGTCAATGCTCGTTTCAATCTTTGTATTTTGTGCTTTGCCTGCAATTGGCAGCCAGGGCATCATTACATTTGCTTGATTGAACTTGCCCTGTGTACCGTGCTTCGTGTCCTGTGCTCCGTGCTCCATGGTGTGGTGGCCAGTGACTCCTACCACGGCTTTCGGGCTGCTCCAGCCTGCCCTTCCTTCACGCCCTAGATGGCTCTCCCCGTCTGTTCGCATGACAGTCGAAAAATACTCGGGACATAAAACTCAGACTAGACCAGAAGAGACCATGGTCGCAGGCAGCCAAAGGCAAGTCGCTTGCTCAGTACCTGCCAGCATGAAGTACGATATCTCCCTAAATGCATAAACACCGAGCGACCAGCTTCGAACCCACATTCAGTTGGCCAAGACAGCATTCGGGGTCGAGTTACTGCTACCCGAGCACTGACTCTTCCAACTTCAGTTGCAGCCTCAGTTGCTTTTTGTAACATTCTTCATGGCGCCTTCTGTTTAAAGGGCACTCTTCATCAGCAATGGCAAACTTGAAATATATATGTATATATATCCTTAATATTCGTTCGTGGAGCCATCACTTAATCTGTCAGCTTGGGATGAGAATAGAGCAAAATAGAAAGACAGATAAGTAGATCAACGGAATGTAGCTCAGCGGAGACAAGTCCGAAATCAGAAAGAACTCTATAGTCCGGTGCCTCGACTTTCAAATACCGGGTAAATATATAGTATTAGCTAAATAATATATCTGTAAAGTATTTAGATCTAATTTGCGTTGCATTTCGACGTAAAAGTAAACATAATTCATGCTTTACACGGTCTATCTCTGGACTAAATAAATACTTAATAAAATATCAGACTTTGAAATAGCAATTCTTTTTAATAGGACTAAGGGTTATATTAAATCAAAAAGCATTTTGATTGATAATTTGTTATATTTCTATTAGAATGACTTTAAATTTAAATGATTCACACACAATTGAAGGATCGTATAGATAACGGTATAGAGCTACTTAAAAAAATGAATAAATAATGTAAAATAAAAATAATGGTGGCGCCTCTGGGTTTGTAGTAGCAACCTTTGAGTGTCTTCACAGTTTGTCGACTTTGCAGTTGCATTTTTATTGCATTTATCTCGGTTGGCGGAATGTTCGGTATTCTGGCCCAATTGACTGTGACAAGCGACTAAAACCCCATCCCAGTTCAGACCAAAAGAAAGAGCTAACTCGGAATAGCAATGGGTAACATTGGCTTGCTTGTTGGGGGAGGCAAGGGAAAAGTTTGCCCTGTTCACATTTCAGGGTCTGTCACTCGTCTGTTGTTCTTTCTAAGCATATCAATTAGGTTGCCGTTGGTTTTTGGCTTGGCTTTGGCTCTCCGACTGGAGTTAGCTCATCATTTGCATGGAAATTACCCTGGCCCACAAGCCCCGCCCTCGATCCGCTGGAAGTTCACAACTTTGTGCCAAATCACAGTATGAGAAAACAATTGTGAAACGCACAAAAACTGAAATGGTTCTGCGCTGCGAAAAGAGGCGAACAACAAAAAAATTGTTTGAGAAAAACAAAAGTTTAACTCTTTTAAATTCATTTAAACACTTTTAGCGCTTTTCACGCCCCTCGCCAGCGAGCATCTCCAGTCCGCTAGGCGCTTTATAGACGTCCTGCCGTGGAGCGGCCAAGTTTTGTTTCGTCTTTGTTGTCCAAAAGGAGTATGAACCGACTGGCGATGAAGAAAAAAGTGGCAAAGTTTTCCCTCAAAGGCGCGACTGAAAATATAAGGATAATACGGAAAACAGTTTGAGTCTGAACAACCGGAGTCTAGTTGGAAAGCGTTATAAACACACATAAATATAGAAGACATCTCTTTAAGTTTCCTTCGCTTTGGTTCTTAAATTCTGGAATTCAGTGTTTGAATCGACGAGCCCACCGCCACCCGCCATTGAAGCGAAAGCGAAGCGCATGCCAATTGTGCAATTGTTGGAAAATTTCTTCTTTCTTTCTAGCTTTCTTTCTTTCTGCGCCTTGTCTTTTTTGTTTCTCAAAACTTGTGCGGTCTGCCCTGTCTTTCCTCTGCCAATTCCCTCTATCCCCCGTTTTACGCTTCCTGGCAAGCATTGAACTGAGTTTTTCATCCTCTGGAGACGCCAGGAACCGCTGTCCTGATAGGTATTGGTCACGACGAAACTGTCGTTGGGGGAGGGCAAGGGAAGCTAGGATATTGGGAAGCCTGGATCTGGGTGCTCTGCACTCCACGACCGTTAGCCGCTTTGATCGAATATTTAAAGTTAATGAACAAGATTGCCCAAAGAAATCCGAGCCAAACGTGCTGCGGTGCGGCAACCGCCAGGGCCCAAGACTTGCCAAAGAGTTCAATCAACCTGACAAATTTCAATCAAGATGGGGCAAAAACCGGGCACACAAATTCCGGTCTCTAAAGCCAGATCCTTGTCCGATGCGAAATCGAGGAGGAGTCACGCCACATCACAATTAGGATTCCGTTGAAGTTTTGTCATTGAATGAAAAGCGTCTGCAACTTTTATTTAACTTGTGAGGCGGCACACAGGTGGGGCTTGGTCAACAATTGCCCACGTAGACGGGGAGGGGTCACTATGGGGCTTGACTTCCCACTCACGTGTGCACACATGTAGATACATTGCAGGAAGCGAATGTGTTGACCTGCAGTACTCTTACCTTTTCGCCAAGTCCATTACCTTTCAAACTGGTTTGTCATGAGAAAAGATTAGGTTATATTTATTTTCCAATATCCTGATATCTTGAGTGGTAATTCTGTGTATTTTACTTGCCTTTATGTCTATTCTATTGATAAATATATTCATTTTACAATATATGTAGTTTTTCTTTAATTTTATTACTATTTAAGATTTGGTTTGTAAAGGCAAGCCTTTACGGTAAGAAGTCTGGTTAAATACTTTGAAGTTCAGGGTATTTGAACTTAGTTTTCCTTAAAGTAAAGCACAACCATTGGGGTATCACCCTAGAACAAACTGGAATCTATCTTGTTGATTGTTATTTCTAGAATTATTATTCACAATTCCAATTGATTTTGTCTCGTCAGTTGATCAGACCTCTCCCAACTCTTCTTTTAGTGTATTTGTATGCGGTAATAAGACTGTCGAGCTGAGCTTAGTGCAGTTTTGCTCTGTCTGTCAGCTGTCAGCCTCGGCATATCAGATGGACTCAACGACTGACCCCAGATCCCAGATTCTCAGACTAATCAGTGGACGATGGTTGCAATTGAAACTATACCAACGCTGTGTCTCGTAATCAGTAATTTAGTCTCAGTTGCGCCGAGAAGATGTTCGAGTGGTGGCTTCTTTGTGTGTGCCTTCAGTGGCTTGGTCGCGCGGAGGCCACTGAGCCTGCTGATCCGTTGCTGGCCCTTTCTGCCAAGGACTTCCAGTTGGAGTTTCTGCGAGAGCTCACCGTTCTGGCTGAACAACGGGCTGAGGTGTGTCTCAACGATTACCTGGCCCAGCTGGAACAAGATGCGCAATATGCCAACTACACTGGCGAATTGAGTGCAGTCCGCTCGACAGCCAAGCTCCCGCACAAGGTGACGCTCATAAAGCAGCTCCTAGATGCGAAGCCCCACCAGGAAACGGATCTAGAGCACACCACTGTGCTGCGAAACCTCGTCTTCCTAAACCGCTTGAAGGCCATGTTTAGGGCGAGTAGGGATGCCAGCACTCAGGAGATTCGACAGCTGCGTCTGCATCGCCTTTGCCAGCAATTCGACCATCTGACGCCTCCTCGCAGGACGAGCTTGATCAACGAGCAGACCGTCGGAGCTGCTGTGGAGAAACTGAACCTCACCAGAAGCGGTGACCCAGCCAGTGCCCTGGATCTGAATCAGTTTGGGGCGCAGCTATACGAGAGAGTTAAAAATTCCGGGGCCGAGATTATCGACAACTATCTGCAGATCCTGCGTGGTCTGCTGCAGGACATCATCGATGGCGATCACGCGGATCTGGCCGAAAGCAGTAGCCGGTTGGACAACATGCTGCTTCAGTTGGATGGCATGCTGGCAACGGAGGATTTCTTCGAGAAGCGGCAGAAGGTATACGCTTACCTCGAGCGCCACCTGACCACCGATTACGAGCAGCTGCGGGACTCGGCAGGAGCTGAGCATCATCTTACGGAGCAGCTCCTTGCCCAGCTGAAAGCCAAGGGCTTGGACCTGTTTGTAATTTTCTTGTTCAGCAACTTTGAGTTCCTGGAGAAGGTGCACGAGCACTGGGCCCAGATGCTGCCGCAGGACTCAAGTCTGCTGTTGGACGAGACCACGCGTAAGTTGTACGACCTGCAGCAGCTCTACGAGATCTTCAAGCTCGACACGGAGAGCCAAGCCAAGTATGAGGCCTACTCGGATGCCCTGCGCCGACTCCACGAACTGACTGTGGAACAGGGCCAGCGTAACCGCCATATCTTCGAGCTCCTCAGCAACGCTGCCCAGAATGTGGGCAGTGTCACCTTTAACATGATCAAGGCCAAATGCAAAGACTTAATCTGAGAGAATTTATTTGGTTGGAATTTTTCGGTTTATAGTACATATTAATCATGGGTTCAATGAGAGGTTTTAGTATATTATATAAATACTCTTTGAGCTTTTTATGTTACTTATAAAGTTATGTCTTGAGGTTACAAAAAAGCTGCGAGCTGTATTCATATCAATCATTTACCAAGAGTAAATAAATTTCTTTACTTAAAGAAGACTTTAATATTTTCGTGTCACCAGCTTCAATTGATTGAAACAAAAACTACACACATTTTTCCCTTTTCTGCAACTGTGGTACATATAAAAATAAATCGGCATAGGTAGACCAACGATGATGTCCAGGGCGTAATTATATTTCGTTGTTGCTGTTGCTGGCGGCAGCTTTTAATATCCGCCCGTCGCATCGGATGTCGCTTAAATAGCGTTCCCCCGACCTACGGATTCCTCCCCTTCCCAAGGTCTCTATGTTTCTTCGCTTTCTTTGTCGCATTACGCTGACGGTGCAGTGGCCGTGTCTGTTCCAGAGCTGCTAGTGGTACTTGTTTATCTAATGTTACCTGGGCACCCAGGGAGGGCCCTGGTGATCCTGCTGGGCTGCAAAGCTAATGCCCCTGCTGCCACATAGTTGGCCAAAGCCAGCTAATTAATCGTTGTCGTTGCAGATGATTAGAACTTAAATGAGTTGCCGTTGCAACAGGAGTTGCTGTGGACATGGGATCCGTTAAAGCGAGTTGAGTTAGATTGACGTTGCTGTCTGGATTCAGATTTTAGTTGAATAGCTTTTAATTTGAGTAGGTAAATTGCCATTGATTAAGGCATTGAAAAATGTAAACGTTACTTGAGCAAACACTCACTCAGTGTTCACAATCCCCTTTAGCCTTAATTTTTCAATGCACACAAAAATAAATCGAGGGCACAAAAGTCACTCTTTCAGATACTTTTCCCCTCGCAGTCAAGCGATTGCACAACATTTATCACCTTTTATGTAGGAGCGAAAATGCGATGCTGGGCGTTGTTTCCTCTGGGAACAAAGGCAATAACAAGCAACTTTAACAGTAAACACAGAAACAACAATGCAACGAAATGCAATTTCACACTAGGCTAAACCTACCACGTTTCTGCTCCCGTTCTTGAACCCTCGAGGGAGTCGAAGTCGGATCTGATTCGTAGTCGGAACAAACGCTCTGTAGGGCATACAATTTAATTATGATTTATTGGTTTACCGGCCTGTCTGCAGCTCGTGCTCGCATCGAGCTCGAAAATTTTAAGCCAATCGGGTCCACCCCAAATTTATTGACATTTTTCGGCTGACACGACATCAAAAAGTGCCAAAGCCTGCACCCTGTTCTTTATTTCTGAGCTCGCTCATAAATCTTTGGATTCTAAATTAGTCTGATTATGAGAATAAAAGATAACTACAGCAAGTCGAAGATTGCACACCATTGACAACTTTTCATATTCATATGGTATATTTAAGCGAAAAGAAATATATTTTAATAAAATTACATAAATATGTAATAAACTAAATCTTATTTGTTTCAATAATCTTTTCTTTAGAAGCACCCTTTCCAGCATTAAAGTCGTCTGATCTAAATTTCAATGCACTCTGAAAGACTATTAAAAGCATCCAACTTGGGAGGGGTTCTATTTATGTATATTTAAATTTATGCTAGCGAAGGGGTAGGAACTATAATCCAGTCATCGCTATATTAATCAAGTTCCTAATCCGTATTTATTTTCGTTTTCGGTTGCAGTCATCAGCGAAGATCCCGAGTTCACAGATGTCATAGAGAACATAACAGTGCCTGCTGGGCGAAATGTCAAGCTGGCTTGTTCGGTCAAGAACCTGGGCTCCTACAAGGTGAGTGAACTTAAATCTGGCGATAAGTATTAATTAGAAGTTATTTAATATTTTTTAAATATAAATACAAACAAGAATTGAAAGAATTAAAGTATTGTTAAAGAAAGCAAGCAAGAAAGCAGTAGGTCAGCATTACTGAAACATTTTAATATTTTATGAAGGTGTGGCTTTTAAGCCAAGAAAGAAAAGACTTTTGCGGGATCATTTTTTTACAGTGTTAAGTTTAAAATTAAAAATAAATTATAAAGCATTGTTTCATAATTCTAAAAAAAATACGTCATTGAAGACAAATTAATAAAGAGTATGCTAGAAAAAATTGTCTAAAATGTTAATGAACAGTTTGAACAGTTTGTGTTTAAAGTTTGAATTTTGAAATTTTTTTGGGGTGTACGCAGAGATATGCGGTTGAGTGTATATTTTCATCAGAACTTGCAAGGTTGTCTACTAGCCTTTAATGCTCGAGATGGGGTTTCCCTTGTAAAGACCTCTTGCCTTTCGGAATGATCGATTGCACTTGTTATTTTAATATTCCTTTCAATTACTTTTTAGCTGCACTCTGAGATAGCTTCGTATTTTTCCTTAATTGAGATCGCTCATCGAATGGAAGGATCGTTCAGTTTGAACCGTTTCATTTGCATAGATTTCATCCAGTCAATTCTAAACCTTCTACAATACCAAAAACAAAGTACCAAAAGACCTTTCTTTTCTTATAATAAGATAGTGTGTGAGCTGGGAACTAAACACTAACTAGTGCTAAAATTAATGTTCCTCTGTCACACCGGGAAAGAGTATTTTTTGGAAGGGGCCAAAGAGTGTTTCTACTGGACACTTGCTCAACCACACACTGCTCAATATTCATTGTCTGCTGCATTCTTTTAGGCGCTGCGCTTGATATGCATAGATATCTCTATCGCTCTCCCTCGCCGGCACTCCGTCCCTGTCACTCCGCCGCAGAGTCGGCAATTTAAATTTGCATCCAATTGAATTTCCATAATGTGCGTGCGACCGAAACGTGCATAAATTTCATTTTGACACGACTTGCCGGCTCGCTCCGGCCTTTGTACTTCCAGCCACGTTGTGTGGCTGTGGTGGTGCTCGTAATAATTTTTATGACCCTTAAGTTCGGCATATTCAACCCCCTCCCTGGTCCCTGGGCCGCTCAGCCGCTCAGCCGCTCAGCCGGCCGCCCTTTCATTCATCTCTGGTTTGCTCCTCATTGGCCTCAGGTAAGCTCAAAAGTTAAGCGGCAACAACAACGGGAAGCGCTCGTAGCTGCAATAAAACGTGACTTTGCATGCAAAATAGTTGCGTAGCCGACGGGTAGGACTCCTGCTCTGCTGGTCTCCTGCCGCCACGTTTCATGTCTGTCCTAGGACACAGACAGGTTACTCGGAATTAATTTTATAGCCCACACTGGGGTATGGCAACTATACTGGAAAAGTGGACTTCGATCAAAAAATAATAAGTTTTGAGCTCAATTAAAGTTGTTTAAATTGGAAAGGAAAAATCTTAATTCAAAGGAAACTAGAAAATAATTTTAGATTAATTATACAAAAAAGAAATAAAAGATTTTCTATTCGGATATATATTTATTTTCTGTGGCCTAGGAACTACATAATCCTTAATGCTTAAAAAGTTCACTCCCTATCTGCGTCTGCACAAATATTTGAGTTGCTTGTAAAATTAACTCGCGTATTTCTCAGACGCTCCTTTTAACACGTTTACGCTTAAATTGTTAATGTTAAGCGAGCAGCTTTTCATTTACCCCATCCCATCCCTTCCCCATTCCCTCCCCCCTCCGATCCACCCAGCGTCGTGTCCTTGTTTGCATTTCAATTTTCAACGCCTACACAAACACAGAGAGAGAGACACACGCAACACTGAGGCGCACTAACAACAATGCCAGGCCAGTAACATGAGCATAAGTTTAGTTTGTTTATGTTGTTGTTTGTATTGCTTGGGCCCCGCCCCCTCCCACAAAGCCTCAATGTCCCCCAATCCCCTCCTCCTCCACTACTCTACAAAGCATAAACATTTTCAGGCATAATAAAGTGTGTTTATTTTTGCTTCGGCTAAAAGTTTTTTCTAGTTGTTTTCTTTTTAGTTTTGCTTAAAATTTTATGACTTCATTTAGTATTTTATAGGGAAGAGCGGCGGGGTGGGGCCGGAAAGAGTTGTGCCATTACGCAAATTGCAAATTGGCCATTCTGTCTGTCGGCTGCTATCGACTTGGGCCATCAGCATGTGTCTGAGACAAGTGAAGGCATCTGCCCCATGGAAATGAAGATAAATACGAAGGAGATAGTAGCGCTTTCGAAGCGAAAGTCTGCGAAATACAAACACTGCATATAATAGAGTTTGTCTGGACTCTCAAGTGTGACGTCTCCGGCAATATCCGCTTCGAAGGATTGTGGTTTCAAGGCAGCGCTTGAGAGCTTCGGTACGACAGTCAAGGGGAAAAATATGCAACGGTTAGAAATCCGATCTCCGGATAGGCTTTAAAGAAGAAGTTTCCAAGAAAGTGTCCAAAAAAGACTACCACAAAATCATATCTTTGAGATCTATATAATTTAAAACTCGACTTTTGTTAAACAAAACTGGTGGTAGGGACTATAACGAGTAAAAATGTTATAATATTTAGCCACAGGGCTGCTATTTTCCAACTTTATTGTTTTTATGTTAAAAGTAACTTTTAAATTTTAAGAAAACATGCATTAAGATAGATCAATTGACCACGTAGTGTACTATTAACAAACTGAAGGATAAGTTACTTTCCAGGCTTCAACAAATACTTATGACAATAAAACCAGGCCCTACATTATACTGACCTTTGCTATGGTATATAAAACTGGCACTTTCCAAGATATCCAGAATAATTTGACCGTATATCGTAATGTATTATGGATTGTTATCTTTACTTAAATTCTTTCTTATTGGAACGGCATTTCCTACGGTCTATGTAACTCAAATTAGCCCGAGTTGAGAACTCTGATAGTTATCTTCTAAGCAGTACCTTTGCCATTTCGTTGGCATAACTGGAATTAAATATGCGGAAAATTTTAATGGCATCAGCTGCTGGTGCAGGGAAAAACCTATTAAAAGTCACACCGTCACGTGGCCCCCCAAGAGTCAACTTTGCCTTGACTTTTGTCGGCCTTTTCTCGCCTAGCTGGAAATAATTTGGCCAAAAGCCGCATACTCTCATATAGACAGCGGGGAGGAGTCAGCAGAAGAGGCTCATGCTGATGCTGGCCCTATATGGCTCCTAATTAATTTCAATGAAATGCGCCCAGAGAATGAATCGAAATTGCAAATGCAAAAGAGAGAGAGTTTAGACCGAAATGTTAGCGCTTTAATAAAGGGCTTTAATCCATTGGGAAGTGCATTTATATTGATTTTAAGCTCCTCCTACCTTCGCTTTCCCTCTGATAAACGTGTTTGCATTAATTCTTCGATTCGATGCTGCCACTGGAAGCTGCCTTGCCAAACTAGCATTTAGACGACTGACTTTTAATATGCCAAGGAGTCAACGGCGCCCAAATATAAAATAAGCAAACTGATGGCGACTTCCCCTCGGCTTTGTCTTCGATCTCCGTTTCTATCCCGGTGTACGTTTTCAATGCAGACATTGAAAAATTAACCGATATCAGTCCACGTTGGCCGACAGTATCCTCCTTCCCGTTGGCGCCCCCTAAAGGATGCTGATAGTGCAGCTCTCTCCCGGCTTGCCGAGGGCTCCGTGACATGGCTCGTAGACTTCGCTACTGAGCCCAGCGACGCCATTACATTTACTGCCAGCGCGTCGGAATTTATCATTGAAATGGCATCGACACAACACATCCCACACTCCGACTCCTTCTTTGCGCCTCGCATTCAGCACGTCTCAGCCGATGCGTTGGGTGCTTAAATTTGCATAAATTGCTTGTTGTTTACCCCCAGGAACGAAAGAACGAAATACGAAATACGAAAAACGACAAGCGAAAAGGGAATATAACCGAAAAACTATAGTCGAGCTGCATAAGTTGGGGCGGGAAGTGTTTGACCCATGACGCACGCTAGCTGCCAAAAGTTTCTGCGGCGACATCTGCCGTCACATGTGCAAAAGTTTCTACCGGAGAGCGGTCGTTAATCCTTCATAGGAATTGATGATGATGGCCCCAAGTTTGGCTAATAAAAGAGATGACAGTTTGTCATCAGCTAAACTAATAAAGGGGGGTGGGCCCTTGATGAGGCGCCGGCTTTGGGCCGCATCAGCATCTATCACAAGCGATATCCCTATGAAATAAGCTGAATAATTCAATTGGTTTACTTTTCAGGTGGCGTGGATGCATTTCGAGCAATCGGCCATTCTCACCGTGCACAATCATGTGATAACGCGTAATCCGAGGATAAGTGTCACCCACGATAAGCACGACAAGCACCGCACCTGGTTCCTGCACATCAACAATGTCCAGGAGGAGGACAAGGGCAGATACATGTGCCAGATCAATACGGTGACGGCCAAGACCCAATATGGCTTCGTCAAAGTGGTTGGTAAGTCGTGCATGTCCTTTGCATATTTCATTTTATTTGCCAAAACTGTTACAAGGAATTAGCAAGCCCTCTGACTGACAAACCATCCCCTGAGTTGGTTGCGATGAGCAAACAAAACACTTTATTAGGGCAAATGAATGGGAGTCATCGTTAATTTTCTTTTATCTGATTAGTCCGTGAAAGTATCCATTAAATCCATCCATATTGCCAGCATATCTTCATGAGCTCAAGTATGTGTTTGCTAGTAGCTCTGTTCTTGTTTAACTTTAATAATACGATATACCACCTAATGGGCTTATTCTATAAAAGTATCATTTAAGAGTATGATTAGTTTTCATTTGGACTCAAATTTAGACTCTGGCGTCTGTTTCTTCTACTATGTATTATATTCAATTGAATTCCAAGTTGGCTTTCTAATTTACATAAAGGTTTTATATTTTGGTTCGATTTAAATGCAGATCACTTTTACTTATCATAGAAGATACTTCCTTTCGTGTGAATTCGATTCTCTTTTAACATTTTTAAGATCGTGTTAATATTCTTAGAGAAGCTTAATGCAATATCTTACCAAATCTTTCAATGTGCAAGGAAATGCAAAAATGTTCGAATCGGATTCGCTTTTCAAGTTGACAAATCAACATCATCCGGCTGGCAAACAAGACCGGCAACAGTTCACAGCAGGGAACGGCCTCTGCCAAAGGACGCTGGACGATGGGCGATGGGCGTGCCTTGGGTCCATTCGCATAAATCAGTTTTTGTGGCAAAACTTGAAAAATATGTGCGCAAACAAATGGCATCGGACGATGAAGTGAACTGAAGAGGAGACAGGCTGCCTGGCCGTGCAACAGTTAGGATCCGGAACGGTGGCAACGACACAAGGGAGCAGGAACAGGACTGAATGGAGACACAGACATGGACGCCACATGGAAATGCAAGGAGACATATGCTGCACGTTGTATAATTTCGGTTTAGACTCTAGTTTCTGAAAGCGCCGACTGGACAAATTTGGGCACCGTGACTGTTGGATGCCCATTATGAAGTTAATGTTTAGAATTTAGAAAAATCGATGACTTTCAAGATTATGGATAGTAAATTTAATGTTTATTAATTTCGTATATTTATTATATTGTGATAATTACTTATCATCATCTGTCGGTTGTCTGTTTTTGTATATGGATCTCAGGAACTCCAAAACTTAAAAAAAAAAAACATCTACAATGCTTATTGTTATTCCTTTTATTACGTATATTAAATGTGATGTGATAATTACTTGTCCATCATCTTTTGGTAGTCTGTTATGATATAAGGATCTCAGGAACTCCAAATCTTTAAAAAAGGAGTCCATCATCAATTCTTATTGAGAGGCTAAACTTATAGCTATTATATAGAATATATTTCCCACAATTCACCTTATTTTTTTAAAAGTAAATATATTTTAAAGTAAATATATTTTTTGTATTGTAAATTCTTTTTTTATTTTGAAATGTCCTCGGTAATCAAGAATGATTTCAGCAATTAAAAAAACATTATTTTAAGCGGCTGATGCCTACAGCCAAACAGGTCATATCCCTTTATACCTCTTAACACTTTACCAGGTATAAAAATGGCTGCGGCATATTTTAAAACATTTTTTCTTGCCTTCCACATATTCGTTGCTCGTTTTGTTGCCTTTGACCAGGGCGACCAGAGCTGTCATAGTGGCATTTTTTATGCCTTCCTCCTGGCAAATTTGCCTAGCATTTTTGCTGGTCCAGGACTTTTGCCACGGGTGTAGCCATCCTGCGTATCTCCACGACTGCCTCTGTGTGTGAGATAACCGAAATCTGGATGTGTGTGGGGAGGGGGGTTAAGAATTGCAAAAATGGCGACAACGTTGCACAAAAAAAGGGGAAAACAGGAAGAAAAATCGTGGAAACAGTTGCGCCGCTCTGGTCACGCCACATCAAATTGCCAGGACGCGTGGTGCGTGTGAGGCGTGTTATTTGAGCGTTTTATAACACTGAGGCGTGCTTAACGGCTTTTTAAAAAATGCTATCGAGCGCAGCAAAGGCAAACCCAACAGATGAAATCCCACAAAAAAAAAAATAGGGGAATACAATTATGGAAGGTGCAAGGTGTTGCAAGTAAGGCTGCAACATTTTAGACCTCAAAACTTTACAGTTCAAAAAGCAAAGAAAAGGAACCAAAAGAGTTTTATATGAGAAGGGAGACCATATATTGCAATGAATTAGCATACATAAAAAATCCAATTAGAGGAGAAATATGAAATGGTGTGAAATATAAATCGACAGTCACTATAACTAAACTAAAGCCAGCTAAAACCAGAACAACAAAAAAGAAATGTAACATAAACGTAATTACATTACACAACAAAAACATAATGAAATTAAAATGTTTCATTTGTCAACCAGATAGATACATACATATATACAAGTACGTTAAAACAAAGCCAAAATCGCTGTCAGACAAATGAGTAAATAAATAAATACGTTTTTGGGTTACCGGTACAACATTTGTGAATTTAATTTGCTGACTCAAATTCAAAGCGCGGAGTGCGCCAAATGGAATAAATGCACAGAGACAACTCGGAGGGCACAGCGAATTTGTGGCTTGAGTATGCAAAAACAAACATTAAATGCGCCTGAATTTATGAGCCACGCACACAAAATGCATTTAAATTTGCCAGCGTGCTGGCTGCCTGCTGTTGTCGCTCCAACGGCCACCAGTTACCCGATGCGAACTGGGCACAGGAGTGAGCCCAGGGCACAGCCCATTGCCTTCCTCCAACGCCACCGTCCACCGAAATGACCGCACATTGCACCAGCGAGAGGAGCAGCCACACCAAAGTGCAGCATGCAGCATGCAACTGAAGCAAAACAGCAAACACCGACTGTCACACCAACAATTACGAGCTGGACGAAGAAGAGGACACCCAGCAAGGACTATGACTGCGACAGGGACTGGGACTGGAACTGGGACAGGTTTCAGCCCGGTGGCGCATAATTTCTCATCTCTGCTCTACTCATATAATGAGGCAATTTATTAAATTCAATTATTTCGTTGACATTGGTGTAAAGCAGGAGCAGAGCCAAGCGGTAACAGTACTATATTTGGTCCGCGTGCCGACTAAATACATTTAATTTTTAATTAAAAACGAAATGATACACTTAGTATCTAACGCCCCTTTTCGTTTCGGAATCCGCATTAAATGAAGGGCGAATTTTGTAGCAAAATTTCACAGTAATCGAAATACCCAAGTCCTTTAAAACAATTGATTTTTTACCCTTGCAGCGTATTATAATTTCAGTCCGAAGCGTTTTACATAAGTTAGGGGCCATTTCCGACCCTATGAAGTATATATATTCTTGATCAGCATCGACTGGTGATTCGATTAAGACATGTCTGGAAGAAAAAAAAAAATTTAGAAATTTTTTCAAAATTTTGAAATTTTATAAGGGGTTACATCATTAAATAGTCAAATTAAAAAAATATTAATTTTTAAATTTTAAAAATCAAAATGCAGATTTGTAAACCCTATAAAAACTAGCAGAACTGCTTTCCGAATTGAAATTAATGCATTTTTAGCTTAGTTATGATTTATGAAAAATTTTGATTGTACTTCGAAAACATGTTTCTTTGCTTTGGCTTTTCGCAGTCAGCTTTATTTCATTCCAATAAAGTAAATTTAATTTACTTCTTTAAATTTATACTATCTATACTTATTTCATTAAGTACAAATTAAGAGCAACTTCAATGAAGCTATCTTGAGAATTCTTTCCATTAGCTACGGATCATGGTATCGAATGTGCAATCGATCAAGCTCTTCGGTCTTAACTTATATTAAAATAAATTCTATTCATTTGTTTATTGTTGTCGATTTTTTTCAATGTTTAAAATTTATTGTTTAAGAATTGGTTAAAAAAAAAAATTATATTACTTTGGCAATAATTGATTAAATATGTTAGTCTAGTATACTAAATCGATATTGTTAAATGCTAATTTTTTTGGTAAATCAAAGCTTTTAAAATATCGAACTAAGCTGAAAATGCATTAACTTCAATTCTGATATATTTTCTGCTCTGGTTTTAATAGGGCAAACATTTCTGCATACTAAGTTTTAAAATTTTAAAAAGTAATTTTTTTGTCAAATTTGACAATTTTAACTTATAAAATTTTCAAATATTGAACAAATTTCAAAAATTTAGTTTTCCTCCGGACATGGCTAAATCGAATCGCCAGCTGATGCTGATCAATAATGTATATGGAATATGCGGTCTAAAATGACTCCTTTACTAAGTTGCAAGCTTTGGACTTAAACTATAATACCCTGATAGGCTATAAAAATATTAGTATTGTCGCTCTTAAAAGAATGTTATAACTTCGACATTTGTTGGAAAAATACCATACTTTTGTATTTTATAAATATTAAATATAATATAGGTGCGAATATCTCTGTAACTACATTCATTGATTATATATTTATTAAAGCTAGAGCCTCAAATACAACATTTCGGATCTATTAGGAAACTTTATGGTTAAACTACATTGATAATGAATTATTCAAAGTATATTGAGGGTTAAAGTATATTTAGGTGATAACTTACGCTCAAATATTATTTTACCTTTTTTAAAAAGAAAAAGATTCTCGGTTAACCTGGAACTTACTGATAAGCTGTCGATATGAATAAATTTCCGGACATTAGGGGACTGATAGTCACGTAGCTTCCGGCGGGTGGCAAAAAGAAACAAAAAAACAACTTAAAAGAACAATTTTGCTTACGGACACGGCAATTAAATTTAACGCGATAATGGAGCAAAATAATGGATAAAGTTTAGCGCGTCCACACGTGTGAAGGACAATTAGAAGGTGCGACAAGCCGGATGCATCCATCGAAGGATTAGGTAATAAGCTTAAGGAAATCCGTGTCCAACCTTCGGCTGTGTACTTGCACTACTAATTAAATTTTTCCATAACGATTCACATGAAAAAAGTTTTGTGCTGTTGGGAAAAACTTTCCGTGCTGTCGCCAGCTGCAAAAATATCAATAAAGAAACTAATATGTCAAAACTAGGGGACAACAGCTGCTAGATGGCCGTGTCTTTCCTACCATGTCCTGCGATTAGCACATCAAGCGTTTATTAATAGCACGACGAAAAAAGCGTCCTGGGCCAAAGTTTTTGGTCATTATTGGGAAAAATAAAAGAAAGGTATAAAGACCAAAGTTTTTAGAAGTTTCCTCTTTTAATTATACTCGTTTTCCATTAGCTTTGTATAGTTCTGGGCTACAAAAAGTTGATAAAGCGAGAAAGATACATATTTGTAGGGGCCAAGATCAAATGGGGATATTAAAGCTTGACAATTAGGTCGAGTTTCAGGATGCACTGATCCGTGGAATATCTATCTGGCTTTAACCAGTCCATGTCTGCGGCAAGTCAGCACTGCATTGATTAGGTGTCGAGTTGAGGACGAATGGAGATGGAGACAGGAGCCGTCAGTGCCCAGACTGCTGCGACACTAATCGCCTGGGCTACGTGACTCACATCGACCGGGCAGGCTTTGACCCACCGAAAGAAATCGCCGGCGATGAGTTTTGATTGCAGACGGCGTTAGGAATATAAAATGAAGCCCGAAGCCTGAGACAACTGCAGTTGATACCAGCCAGCCAGTCATCCGTCCATATGTTCCCACTCTCAAGTTCCGGCATTCCGGCATTGTGACTTTCTGATTTGCATAGATTTTTCATTACAGATTCGCCTTCGTTTTTGGGGCCTGTGGAAAAAGGAAAAGGGTTTCCTCGACAATTGAAAGATATGGTCAGGGAAAGCGAACGCGGCACGAGTGAGGGGAAAAAATAAGACTGATGACAATTTGATGAAGGTTGCCGCATCGATTTTTGAATTAACAAACTCTCTCTGCCTTGCGTCAAGGGGTGGTGGTTCTGAGCCAGAACCTGTTCGCAAAGCTAATTAGGCTTAAAATAAAGTTGAGGAGTAGTAACTTTGTCGGGAACCGAATCTTACTCGAGTGTCAGCGCATCGGAGTCAACAATGCGTGAAATACTCTATTCCATCCACAAGCGAGGTATACCGACATAACGATGTCATTGAAATGGATTTCTTTCTCTTTATTTTGCAACCCTAAAATAATTTTGTTTTCCTCGACAGTGTGTACGAATTTCTTCCCCGCGAATAAAGGTTTTCGATTCGTTTTCCGCTTTCTTGGCAACCACAATTGCTAAGAAAAAGTGGAACATTTTACTTTCCTACCTTTGGCATTTGAATCAAGCCAGAGGTTTTTGGTTGGGTAAGAAATATATAATGCCACAGCGTATCCCCTTCTTGTCTTCCTCCCAGTGCCACCCAACATAGACGACGCCCTGACCTCCAGTGACGTCATAGTGCGCGAGGGCGATAACGTGACGCTGCGCTGCAAGGCGAAAGGCAGCCCAGAGCCAAGCATCAAGTGGAAGCGGGATGACGGTAACAAAATAGTAATCAACAAGACACTCGAGGGTAAGTCCCCATCCCTATTGCAACTCCTAGGTGTCCGACTAACCTGCACCCTAATCCCAATCTTCACCATTTCATTTGCATGTGCAGTGAGTGACTTGGAGACGGACTCGCTTGAATTGGAGCGGATCTCGCGTTTGCACATGGGTGCCTACTTGTGCATAGCCTCGAACGGAGTTCCTCCCAGCGTGTCCAAGCGCATCAAAGTCAGCGTAGACTGTGAGTTTATATACCCGTTATTTCTGTATAATATTGTATAGTATGACCCACTTTTCGGTATCCTTTCAGTCTCGCCGATGGTCTGGATCCCGCATCAACTGGTCGGCATACCCATGGGATTCAACATCACCCTGGAGTGTTTCATCGAGGCAAACCCCACCTCGCTCAACTATTGGACCCGCGAAAATGAGCAAATGATCACTGAGTCATCGAAGTACAAGTAAGTAATGCACACCGGCTATTGTAATCGTGCCCCATTTGGGGGTTTGGGTTATTCCTTATCAGGACTTGCTTAACCCCGGCATACAGTATTCGACTGATAGAGCGCGAATCTCTGCGAGTCAGTCGCTGAATTCTAGATTCACAATTCAGTTGACTGCCAGTTATGGAGTGGATTATCTGTCTTTTGTTTTTTGCGAGTGCTTCTATAGCTGCGAATGAGACGGTGATCGGCGCAAACACTCGCCTGCTGAACAACATCCTCAGCTATGTTGATGAGGGAGAAGACGCCTGCAATAATTACTTCCAGCATGCGTGCGGCAAGTACGCGGCTAGGCACATAGATGACCCCTTCACTGAAATCACCCAGATGCTCGACCACAAAGTCAACCAAAATCTGCTCCAGCTAATGGACGAACTGGAGAGAAGCTCACGGATGCCCGGCTTTAACGAGGGCACTGTTGAGGCAAAGGCCCTACGTTTTTACCTCACCTGCCGCGATGCTCCGGCCAGCACGCGCAATATCTCGCACTATCTGCGACTGGCACCTCCAGCCGATGGACTAACGTGGCCTCAATTCAGCCCCAGAGGCACGGTTTGGCCCAAGGATCAGTTCAAGTGGATGGAGACCCTGGCACATCTTCACCGTTACGGCCTCAGAAACGTGCTAATTAACGTTCTGATCATACCAAGACTTGAAAACAGAGAGGAGATTGTCGTCGACATTAGCATGCCGCTCTTTGAGTCGCAGCATCTAAATGGGTTTACCGAAACCGTTGCTATGCTCCGTATGATGGGTGTTAAGCCTAAAGGCTCCATAACACAGGCGATTAAGATAAGGCGACTAGAGTCGGCTGTTAAAACCTTAACGGAAGCTGACGAAGACCCTGACATCCAGCTTATGACTGTACATCAGTTAGAGCGCAGAAATGGCCACGTCTGGCGCAAATTTATAGAGACAGTAGTAGGTCACACCATTCCCAATGACTTGCGTGTGCAGTTCCAGAACTTGGACTATTTCAGCGCCCTCAATCGCCTAATGGAGTCATCGGACGCCGAGGTGGTGGTTAACTATATAATGTCCCGCTTTGTGCTCCACCTGCTGGAAGATACAATGGAGAGCGCAGAGCCCATTCAATGTATAATGGATCTGCGGCGCAATATGAATCTGGCCACTAATCTATTCTATAAAGAGCGATTTCTCCAGCCCCAAGCTTTGCAGCGAAACACATTGGAGGTCGAGAAGATCATCAACCAACTGAGTCGCCAGTTCCTATTGCAGATCGAGCGCAATCGGCTTGGATTGACCGCCAGGCAGCGCAGGATGGTCGCCCGGAAGGTTCAGTCCATCTCCCTTAATATTGGCAATCTGCCAAAGAATCTGGATCATCAAAGCTTCGTCAGTCAGTTCTATGACGAATTGGAAATATCAACAGGTGATTTGGATTACAACCGGGAGCACCTAAAGTTGCTGCGGTTCCGCACCCGAAAGGAAATGGCACAACTTGGTCATCCTGCGCCGAGTGTAGGAGAATATTTCTACATGGCCGAGTCCAATTCGGCCATGAACTCAGGCCCAATGTTCATGATGCGCCAGAATGTGATCATAGTGCCGCACGGTATTCTGCAGGAGCCGTTCTTCTTACCCGATAGTCACGATGTGTTCAAGTACAGTCTTCTGGGATTCGTTCTCGCCCACGAGCTGATGCACGCCGTCGACGGCACTGGAATCTTGATCGATAGCCATGGTAACCACTTTGAAATGGGCGGTGAGATCCTTAGCTCATCACGCTTCGAAGAAGGCTTGGAGTGCATGAATCGGAATAAGACTCAGTACCTCGACGAACGAGTAGCAGACATATCCGGCTTAAGTCTGGCATACGCTACTTATTTTGATAACGTCAACAACCAGAGCCGACTAGACTTCACCAACAAGTCACAGGAGCAACTTTTCTTCCTCAATCTGGCGCAGTTCTTCTGCGGAGATGTCGCCGCCTCAAACTTTGTGGGTCACGATAACGATGAGATGCGTTTGCAGCAGCTGTTGAATGGCTTTCAACCCTTCGACAGGGCGTTTGGATGTCGCAGGGATCAGACTCCGGTCGAAAAGTGCCAGCTGTGGTGAATCCAGCTGTGAGCAATCCAACATTTTGAAATTCTAACTCGTTTGAAGTCACTGCATTAGTTTCGTTGTTTTACACATTTATTTGTTTTTCAATTTTGTACCATATTCAACACAGAACCTTTTGCTTAGCCTTCTAAATACATGACGTTACATTCCCTTTACTCACATTTACATTTACCGTCAATGGGCAATGGCAGTTGTGTCAAAGATCGACCCTCCATCTTTCGATATATCAATTTATAGGAACATTCATGTCCGGCAGAGGTATCATAATTGTTTCCAGGAATTTGTGACCCTATATCATATATATTTCGGCTTAACTTCAACAGCCTTTGAGCTTTCTATGTACAATTTTCTAATTAGTATAATAGGGCCACAAAGGAAGATTAATAAAATGGCATTGAAGCGATCGATCAATTTCAATAACAATATGAGAAACTCGGTGAAATCTTATGTTATACATGCGTCGATTTGTATTGCTTAAAAGCAGAAGCTAATGTTCCCGAAATTTACTTCTCTTCTGGAATTGTCACTAAGCTTAAAGCTTGAATCCGTTGAGATTTAAGAGCCTTACCAGAGTCGACACCGGTGGCTGGCCTGCATCTTGGCCTTCTTCTCGCACCCAAACTCCCTCGAGAACTCCTCAAAGTTGGCCAGTGTCTGCATCACTCGTAGCTCATCGGCGGCGTGCTCCAAATGTGCCTGTGACTGTGACCGAAGACTGGAGACAGGCGTCCGTCCGCAGAAGAACTGGGCGAAGCTAATGAAGAATAGCTGCCGCTGGCTAAACTGCGGTACCAAGGGATCCCTCGGCTCCCTCTGATCCGCCCGCACGCCGAAGAATGTTTCATAGGCAAGCCGCAGGGCCGCAAAGTCAGCCAGTTTCTCGTCGAGCCACTTGGAGCCGGTTGCCATCTGCTGCTGCATGCAGTTGAGCCCCTGACGGAATTGCTTGCTCGCCCCGATCTCCTCCACGGGGCCCATGATGTTGCCGAGGTCATCGTAATCGATTCCCGACATGTCAAAGCCATGAGCCATCTCGTGGGCCAGGGCGAACCCCAACACGGCGTGCTGCTGCAGTGAACTGATGTTTCGGTGCCACACCGGCAGCTGAAGCAGTCCGTGTGGCACCAGAACCAGGTTGCGTGGCCTCACATACAGGGGCGATGAGTTGCTGGCGTCCCAGCTCTCTGCCAGGTAGCTTACGCTTCCTCTGGTCGAATTCGTTAAGTTTGTGGAGTTCATCGAGAGCAGGTCGTAGTTGGCCACCACTCGCTGGCGGAGCAACTCCAGCTGGTTCCCATAGAAGTTGTGATCACTCAGCTCGAGGTGGGCGTAATACTGCTCGACGTTCTCCTGCTCATCCAATTGGACAAATCCCAGTTGCAGGCGCATGGCACGTATCTTTTGCTGCAGAATGTGCACCAGGGGAGGCGACAGTCGAAGTCGGTTCTCGGCCAGGGTTTGGCCAAACCGCCGCTTTAGTCGACGAAACAAAGCGCGAATCTCTGGCTCAGAGTCCGGATCGAAGAAACGCTGGCTTATTAGCCAGCTACTTGCCAGGGGCATAGCCCTTCGCAGGCTGGAGACGCACTCTCTCCGCGAGATCTCCGCCGGGCCTTGAGTTTTGAGGAACGCGAGCCACTTGAGCATGATATAGCTGCAGACCGTGTCCGGCGTTTGGGCCTCAACCAGTTCGCTTAGTGCCCTTAAGTAGGGTATATTCTCGATGATCAACGTGGAGCGCAGATCCAACTCGGCGTCATCGCGCACTTGTCGCATGAAGGACAGCCAGCGGAGTTGCGGAAGATAGGTGGCCAGGTAGCCCAGTTGCATTTCTCGCGGTCCCTCGTCATCGTCCAGATCCTGCAGGCGGTGCAACTTGTGCTCGAAGTCGTCCACCAGGCGGGCTAGGGCATTCGCAGCCCGCTTTGTCTGACCAATGTCCAGCAGAAGCTCGATTATGGCACCCTCCCCCATGGGCAGTGTCTCCTGGCGACTCGGTTTGTTCACGTAGAGGCTGTAGGAGCGTGAGTCATCCCACCGCGGTAGAACATCCATGCGCAGCAGTGCCCCATTCAGGCCATGAAGCCGCAGTCTTCCCATTGTCGTTATCCAGTCGAAGTTTTCGGGCCGCCAGCCTCGACCCACCGATGGCCAATGGGTCAGGTTGGAGGGCTGCAGCAGCACCAGATACTTCTTCAGGTTGTATGGCTTGAGCCGTTTGCAGGAGCGATAGTAAAGACGCATCAGCTCCAGAACCATAGAGTCTCCCTCAATGGAGCTGCCGTTGCTGCGCCGCAGCAGGAGTTCCAGGCGTCGATTCAGTGAGCTGTCAATCCCCTCCAAAATATCCGTCGGCAGCAATTGCTCCTGGTATCTCTCCCGCTCGCGGTCCCTGTCCCGCTCTCTTTCGCGCGGAAAGTTCTGCTCCTCTTGCTGGATCTGCCAATTGCCACAGGCATATTGGTAGAAATTCTCGCAGGGACGCGCCCTAGTATCCATGTAGCTCTGCAACTGGGTGGCCAGCATTTGCTGGATGCTCTGGGGCGGTCGTATCTGGCGGCAGGCGGTGGGCGTGGTGCGCCAGGCCAGCGAAAAGAGAAGCCAAGCCGCCAAGCTGAGCCTCAGCATGATGGTTCCGACTGTGACAAATTACAACTGGCCAGACACTAAGCCGCCTGGATCGCGGAGACTACGGACTAGAGCAAGCCCCCGTTGCCTGTCAGTCTTCATCGTGGAATCCGCACGTCGCACACTAGTTCAAGTAATCCGATTTATGACACAGGAACTTTATGCAAAACAGCCCAAACAACTTTATGTTATTTTTATTTTCCATTAAAATGAAGAATCTATTTCTGGAACTGTTCTTAGCTAAAGAATTATTCCTTATAAGATAGAAATGTTTTTAATTACAGTCCATAGTCCATAGTATATTATCGTTTCTCTTAGTTAAAATATATAATTAACAATAAGCTTATGAAATAGCACTTGAAGCCACTGTGCTCGGCTTGCCAGGTCGCATTCTGATTAGCCTTAAGTGGGTGCTTATCAGTTTCACCTTGGCCTTGATTCCCGATTGCCGCTCATTGGGACTGACCCACAATGGGCATCGGATCATGGACGCGCGACGCAAAAGCTGTCATTGACCTTGCCTCAGACCGCCGATCGTACCGCTGCTGATGCTAATAACAAGGTTTGTGTTATTCTCTACTTGCAGGACCGAAACGATTCCGGGCCATCCGTCGTACAAGGCGACCATGCGACTGACCATTATCAACGTGGAGAGCAGCGACTATGGGAACTACAAGTGTGTCGCCAAAAATCCTCGGGGCGACACGGACGGCAACATAAAGCTCTACAGTGAGTGCAAAGCCATACCAGTTATTTATACCCTTTAATATTGGGCCAGATCCACAGCCACAGCGGTTCCGGGCACCGACCGAAATGTGGTATAAATTACAGGGGGCCAGCTTTGGGGCTTGGGGCATGGGGCTTGGGAGTGTGTGTTTAGATGGTTGAAAATCCAAAACTGCAACATTTTGTGGCTTTAATTATGGCGTTTGTCGGTGCAGTTGATTGGTTGTGCCCTGGCCAGAGATAACCATCCATTGTTGGTGCGGTACTTTAAGTGCTTTGGCTTTAATTCTCTCACTTGGCTCCGATGTGCGCAGCGAAAATGAATGCAACATTTATATATATATGTTATAGAGGTTTCCCTTATCTATTGATTACCTCGTTGTGGCCGGGACAAGGTGGCAATTAAAGCCGTTGCCGGACCAATAAAGTGTCAATAATCTGTCAATTTGCTAAATCACTCCCCAGTCAATGGCTGGGCGGCCATTATATCCCAATGCCCAGCCTGGCAGTGCCGATTTCGTTCACAAAAGTTCATAAAACAATATAAAATATCCGCTCGTTGGCGTTGGCGCCAATAAATGACCATGGCCACCAAGAATGGCCAATGTGAAAAGGCGACAAGTTAATTTATATGTACACGCTTTTTATTTTGCTGCCGGTGGCACAACAATGGCAGGATCCCTTACGGAAGTGGGTGTCGCTCTACCAATTAAAGGTAACAATGGCCGCTGATAATAGTGGAGGAACAGCGCCAACAATGCGAACAATGAACCTGTGACAATTTTATTGAGTGGTCAGAGGAAGATACGGGCGTACGGAAGCTGGGAGGTGCCTGCCTGGTTTCGGAATTTCCAGCCAAGGCAAGGCCAAGTGCCAGGCCCCATAAATTTCCTCAACAAATTGTCGAATTTAATGCCAAGAGAGGCCAGCCAGTCAGCCAGTCAGCCAGAGCCAAGAAGAAGTCCAAGAAGCTCTGGGGACGGGGCCAAGAAATTGAAATCGAAAGGAAAGGGACGAGGGTAAGGAGGCTAGATTTACGTGGCCAGAAAAGAGAAGACAATTGGGTGGGAACACAGAAAATAGCAGTTAAGATATCGAGCTGAGAAGTCGGTTTTTGTACATACATATATATGGGAGTTGCGGCTTGTGGCTAGACGCGATTGTTTGCTGCGAATGCATCCACTCACTGATATATAAATACACATTCTGATTCATATCAAAATCTATGCCCCACAGTGTCAAGTCCGCCGACCACACAACCGCCGCCCACAACCACAACGCTGCGGCGTACAACAACGACGACAACGGCAAACACGCTGGATGGCTACCACAATACCCCGCTGAACGGGATCGGCGGCGACGGGCCAACAAATTCGGTGATTGTGATTGACAAATGTGAGTAGTAACAGCGAACTGCAGCTTTAGATGGCAAACTAATTGACCGTGCCCTTACGGGCACTTACAGCGGGCAACAAATATCAATCGAACCTGAACGACATTGGCAAGTCGGAGCAGAAGCTGACGGGCAACAGTCCCAAGGGCTACGACTGGTCCAAGGACAAGGGCAGCGGGAGCCGGAGCCTCCCCTTGCGCCCTACTGCTGGCTCCTTGCGCTCTGTGCGCTGCTGGGTACGCACTGGCGGGCTTAGAGGACTACGGACACACACATAGAAATCGTATTAATAAAGTGCCATTAAAAACAAATCGAAATTAAAAGTGAACAACGCACCCGAAAAGCCGAAAAAATGAACTGTAGCGGAGCGGATGATAAACCATAAAAACTATGTACTTAATTAAGCAAATGGTTGCGCTAACGAAGTCATGCTTTGGTTTACCCTTTTGCTAGACATAAATATTGGATTTTGTTTGGCGCAATAGCCCGCTGCGTGCGGGTGTTATTCAAAAATGTGTTGGCCAAACAAAGGCAGTAAATTAATTAACCGAGTTGACTCACACCCAAGCCGACTAGGCACACCCTATCGCAAGGTATAGATGGGGGCTTGCTCATTCCCACAGATGCAATTTTTCATGCATTATTTCCATATTTTCACCACTTTAGTTGCGTTCCCAATGATATCATCATACTGGTAAAGGGTATGCCCAGTTCGGTGCCAAAGCAACCAAAGCAACATATGATTTTAGCACAGTCAGTCGTAAACACACAAATACATTCTGGTTAGTTAGTCGAAACATAAATTAATTTAATTGCAAAAAAGCGAAATAAATACACATTTCAAATGTTGCCAAATTGTTAAAATACAAAGCACAGGATACACACACACACACACTCACGAATTGTAAATAAAAACGCATACGCATGAATAAAACCAAATACAATTGTAAATTATGTACTCGTTATAGGCGTCTCAGCGATTGCCCACTTCAGCGAGGATAGGCAGGAAGCAATTTATGATATAGGAACTCAAAGACATAACAAAAAAAGAACCCATATAACAGGCACGCGAGACAGTATTAATCAAAAGCCAATTAATAAAGAGATGAAAGCAAATACGAAATACAAAACACTGTTGATAAACACCTAAGTTAGTTGGCGAGTTCGAGTGGGTTTTAATTATATATCAGTTTATTTGAACCAAAGGTAAGCCAGCGGCCAACATAAGTACGTTCTAAACTATACATATACAAATACAAATATATTTAAATACATATATCATAGGCCTTAGTTTGTGTTTCTAAACGATAAGAGTGATAATGTACATTTAAAGAAATTTGTCCCCGAACGGAGCAAGCCAGCAAGCAGCCAGCGACACAAATAAAATATCTATTTGGATTGCTTCTTACACATCAATATGCCTTTTTATTCCTTAAAATCCGGATCCTGCAGGAAGGTAGGTGGAGTGGATAATATGCACAGCCAATCCCGGCAGATGACACTGCTCCTCCACATATCAATAACAATTCCACTCGAATCACTGGGCTAACAAGTGACCAAGGCACGCATAAATGCTTATCCTGCCCTACTTTCGAGTGCAGCTATTGTCGATTTTTATTTGATCCTGTGTTGGCGGAGCACTTGGAGCACGTGAAATTGTTATTGAGACGAGGGCTCAACTCCTTCCTTCTCAATTCTTGCAACTGCACAAGTATCGAGGCCCCCGGCTGGTCAGGGAGTGCCTGGAGTGCAGGAGACATTCGTATTTTCTTGGCGGGGGAAAAAAGCAAACATTTATTTTTTCTAAACTCCGTGATGTTCTTGGCCTCCTACGTGGCATGTGCGCAGCGAAAACAAAGCCCAGACATGCCGGAGGGCTGCTGGATGGCATCAGGATTCAAGTGGCGTATTATAGCATTCTTTATTCCTATGAACAGAGACTTCGCCTAAATCTATGATATTGCGAATATCAACCACTCCCAAAAGTATGCCCCTTCATCAGTGAATAAATCGTTGAATTTTTTGTTTTGTGTTTTTATTTGTATTTTCTTCAGTCTGTGTAACATTTAATGTTGCTGTATGGTAACTTATAGATTAGAGGAACTTATTCTAGGAACTATTTAGTTATTCTACTTGGCTCAGACCTCAACGGCCCGACGATCCAGGAGAGTGTCAAGTATCTTGTCCATGTGCTCACTGCAGTTGGCCAAGCAAATGTCCGCATACTCGCTGAGGAAGTACATGAAGCTCTCGAGCTGTTCCATCGAGCAGGCTCGGAAGCCATCGTCGCGGCCAATGTTGTCGATGGCCCGAATGATGGAGCGCAACTTGTGGACATACTCCGGCGTATTGCGGCAGTGCTCCAGCGAGCCATCCGCCAGATTGGCTGGCTTGTCGTAGCTGCGGATCCGTTGCTCCACGCTCCGGAGCTTGCTTTGCTGCTGCTTCAGCGTCTGCATCATCTGGGGCACGGACATGACGGGAGCAGTGGGAGCAGCGGCACCTCGACTCGACTTGGCAAACAGTTCGTCCAAGGGTACTGCCTCGTAGTCAAGGGAGAACATGTCGGGTGAGAAGGATAACCTTCCGCTGTTGTTGCTGAAGCTGTCAGACTCGAACTCCGTCTGGTCCAGGTCGCTGGTCTTTATGGTCTGGTTGGCGTTGCCGCTGTTGTTGGGCCAAGAGTTCTTGCTGCGCCCCTCCAGGCCATTGCTGGCACCAGTCTGAAGGCCCACTAGCATGCTGTAGCTGCTCTCGATCGAGTACTTCTGGGTGGTTGGCCAGAACTCCGGAACGCTGCTAAACTCGATGTGATCCACTCCGAATCGCAGATCAGATTTCTCAGAGTCGAGGAATGCGAACAGCTTCTCCACCTTCTCGCCTGTCATCAGCTTGCCGCTGAAGGGCACTGCCAGGTCACCGCTGGCGAACCAATAGTGGGAGCAGCCCTGGACGCTGGGCGGACGGTCCGGCAATGTCTGTCGGGCTGGGCTTGAGCTTCCTCCACCACGGGTGAACTTATGCCCATCGATGCCGAAGGCCAGGTCCCGTGTCTCCCAGCTCTTCTGCGTGAATATCTCGTACAGCAGTCGTAGGCGCTCGGGGCTGTTGTAGAATATCTCCAGGGACACGGTGAAATCACCGGCAGTGATCCAGAACATCGATTGTGTCTTTGCAGTCGGCATCTCATCCTGAGAGGAGTTAATATCAACGGTAGGCGCATTGGCAAAGAACTCCCGCTCACTGCAGGGCGTGGAGGGGGTTGTGGAAATGCCATCCAGATCGAGTGGTTGGTCCTCACGAATCACCTGCATGGCCAAGGAGCTGCGTCGCGGCCTCTCCAGGTTGGGAATGGGGCTGAACAGTTGCTGTTGGGCCGGACTGGAGCCGGTGCGTCCCTTGACTGGCGTTGAGAAACCGGAGGGTTTCGAGCCGATGTTGCCAAAGGAGGATCGTCGCATCGGGCTGCTGTCCATTGGATCATTGGAGCACGTCTCAAAGCCCTGGTCAATAAAGCTATCCCGCAGGGGCTGGGCAAGGGACTGCCTTGGCGTATGGGCCGGTGACTGATCGCTGTCTGCGTTTGGCGAGGGAGACGACATCACGGTCAGGGTGTAGGCTGATTTGATTTTTCGAGGCGAGTTCACGTGGCGCATCAGAGACTTGTCCAGTTCAATGTAGCTCTGTTCAGGCATACTGGAGATTGCTTCCATCTTCTTTTTGCATGGCGCAGAGGCAGGTGGCTTGTAGTCCGAGTCAGAGTCAGTGGAAGTGATTGCATTGGCTGTGGCCTCCACAATGGAGTTCTCCTTCTTCCAGGTCAGGGTGCGGCGCATCTTCTTCTTGCGAGGGGGACGCTGTGGCTTGGCGAAATCGAAATGAGTTTGCTCTTGGCCTTCCCTTGGAGTTTCCGGCTGAGATTCATCGGTGGTTATCTAAAAGGAGCAAAAAGAAGGGGTTAATACGTATTCCATTTATTATAAAAATCTTTAAATTTACCTTTGGAAGTGTTGACAACCCGGATTCGCTCTCTTCAGCTTCGGATTGCTTGCAACTGGAGGCACTGGATTGGGTTTGGCTCAGGCTGGGTCGAGGAGCAGGCACTGGCGGAGCCTGACGCTTCACACGGCGCGGAGTAGACTTGACTGTCGGAGCCTGGGACGTATCCACCTCCTTCTCCTCTACGTGGTCGTCCTCCTTGGCCTTGTGCTCCAGCTCTAATTTGGCTATGGCCTCCTCCAGTAGCTGCTCCACGGCGGTCTTCTGGGTGCTATCGCCCATGGAAGCTGCGCTCGTCTCGGGCATCGGCTGCTCCAAGAGATCATCTTCCCCAGAAGCTATCTCAATGGTCTGCTGGCTATTCGACACACTAGTGATATCGAACTGCACGCCGTTCTCCGTGCTGAGCCAGCTGTAGAAAAGGGTTTCCAGCTGCTCGTTTTGAAAAAACATTTGGCTCTCGCATCCACTGCGCTCCTGACGAGTGCGCCGGATCTTTTTCGGCGGGGCATAGGCTTCTGTGGGCAGGGACCGGCGAATAGCGTCTAGATTGCGTTTCTGGGATGTTTCTCGGGCATGGCTGTCGCTCTGAGGTTCCAGACACCGACGGCTTAGAGTACGCGGCACCCTGCCTTCCGGACTAGGCTTGAGGATCACCGTCAGCGTACTCACATGAAGCTGAGAGATGGGTGTCTCCGGCTTGTTCTCAGCCGGCTTGGATGGTGAGAGTCCTCCGGGTCGCGGTGGCGAACCCTGTTCCAGTACACACTTGGCCTCCAGTTCCTGAGCCAGGTGCTTCACACTGGCCTGCTGCTCCGCTACTACCTCGCCACGGGCCATCTGCTTCTTCACCTTCTCCTTGAGACCCGCAGCATGGGCGTTAAACTTGGGATGCTTGGCCGCCATGTCGCCGACAAATTTGTTGAACAACAGTGCCTTGTCCTTCACGCTCAGCTCACGGAACACCTCCTCGGCCACCAGGCAGGGGCCAGAACTCGAGGACTCCGCTCTGAGGTGGGATTGGGGCTGGGGCTTGGGCTCCGGCGACATCTCGTTCTGGAGCTCAACGTACTGCGGCTCTTCGGTGCGGCGCATCACCTGGTTGATCTTCGAGTTGAACAGCTGAGCCATTTCCTTTACCTTCATGGGCAACTTCGCGGAGGTCTTTCCGGGTGCTTTGGAGGCGCCACGTGGGGTATGCATCTCCGACTGCTGCTCGTACTTCTGCTTCAGTTCGCTGATCTTCAGTTTGCCACTCATCTTTGGCTTGGGCGGAGTGACGGGGTCCGATTGGATGCCAAGCTTGGCAATAGCGCTGGCCACTTTTCCCGAGCAGGCGGCCATCTTGGAGGCCTCCAGGCTCTTGGTGGGTGTGACTGGAACCTCCTCGTCGAAATACTTCATTAGATTCTCAATGCTGGACAGGTCCAAGTCAGTGACTTGAACACGTCCAGGCGTCACATAAGAGTTTTGGTGTTCGAGGGCCGTCAGGAAGCGGTCGTCATCCAACGAGGAGATCTCGAAGAGCTCCTCCCGGGTCATGGTGGCACGGAGCAGGCCGCAGGCGTTGCCAGCGTCTCCGTGTTGGCTGGAACGACGACGCTCCTCGATCTCCGCATTGAGTTGCAACAGCTCGCTGAGATCTTCGCTGTTCATGGCCGCCGTGTCCACGACCATCTCGCTGTGCTTGTTGTTTGGTGTAGAGTTGCTCAGGACCATCTTGATTTTCGCTTTCGAATTTTGGTGTTCACGTTAGACGCTGCAGTTTGTAACTGTGCCCTTCCGCTGCCGGGCCACAGTTCTTATAGTCATCACAGGTAGAATGTAGCACTGGTATGTGCATCTAGAAATCACAGGTATCCGATATCCTAATTCGCGGGGATTAAATGGCGAATGTCCCGATACCTCCGATACGGGTTGATCCGCTGATCAGCGATCAGGTAAGCCCCAATGTCGCAGCTGTCAAGCTAATGGATTTCCCGCGGTAACAGTAATTTAATTGCCTTCGCTTACCTTCCAGGAAAGTCCAAGCCCAGTTGACCTGATCTGTTGCAAAAATTGCAAATAGTTTATGGCCTTAAAGAGTGCAGGTCATGGTAAATGCAGATGTCCCTCCTCCTTCTGTAGAGGGAAAAGTATAATAAAGTTGTCCGTGCAGCTGTCAAGAAGGCTATTAAATGCGAATTCCAATTAACACCTCGTGTGCGGCAACTGGGAATTCCCAGACCCCAGCATCATTGCATACCAAGCGCAAAAATCTCGCCCGAAAATGGGAATACTAACAAGACCCAAGCGAGTTGCAGTCACAATAAAAATCACACACTGAAATTTCTGCATCTTGTGGCTTGGTATGAGGATGGGAGAAAGGCGAAAGCAGGGCTCAGGGGACGAGCTCTGATTTTGATACGATTCAAGCCAAACCTGGAGGAGGATGTCGCCCGTTATGCGAGCTGAACTTTGTTTGCCATTTACCACCTTATGCAAATCACTTCGAAAGCAGTAAATTCGAGTGAGCTGGGATTGGGAGAGAGCTCAGGTGCCAACAGTGACGGCTGTGAAAGGAAATCTCTCGTTATTGTATCATCTGTGACATAGTCAGGCCTTTAAATAGACTGTTTCAATTTGCTAATAGCCACGTGGCATATTTTCATGCATGGCAGCGACTTTGTCTAGACAACAAATTCGCCAAGTAGGACTCAATGGGCAAGAAAGTAAAAGGTTTCCCACAAATTCCCCCCAACCCAACACTCCGTCCGTTTATTTGTTTGGCCTGTGCTTTCAATAACTTTAATATCGTCGTTTGTGCGGCGCAGAGAAGTCGGAAATTGAATTGAATTACTTCGAGTGCGAGTAACTTGAGAGTGGACTGAAAAACTGAAGAGCGATGTGCGAGAGTTTTTCCTCTGTGTCTGACTTTTAAAAGTAAGAGCAATCCGTGGACTGCGAATCCTATAGATACGGTGGAAACTGCGGAGTGGAAAGGGAACCGCAGATATACTTTTAATGCCATCGAAATCAGGAAAGCGAAATGGGGAGACGTAACAGCGATTAAGTGGAGGGCATCGATATCTGGTAAACTATTCATGAGATTAAAGCCATCGCCTGCCGAATTATCCTATTTATTTGGAGTTATAATTAAATCGAATTGACTACGGTTTATTTTACAAGGTTTCTCCTACTTTATAGAGGAACTCTTGTTTGTTGGCTGTACTTTTGAGTTGTGTGTTAAAATTCCAACAATTACAAATAACATTGCTCGGGAATGGGAAATTCCTCATCCACTTGACCGTGATCAACGTGACGCAAAGAATTCACTGTGATAGCATCGATAAGGTTCCAGAAGCAAAATCAAAAGCCCCACGAAGCGTGCTTGAAATATGAATTGGGTGCTCAAACGACGAGGCGCCACCACTGCCTCCTCTGGCGGCGATGCAGTGAAGCGGGTTGTGCCACCATTTCCAGCTTCCAACTACCAACTACCAGATACCAGAGCCTGTGGGCTCCCAGCTGCGGAAGTGTTGTGTTGCCATTGACCCGTTAACGACTCGCATTCTTCTCGAATCTCTTTGGTCCCGGCCGCCACGGCTTGCGGGATGCGCAGATTAATTTTCGTTTGCCGTTTGCTGCTCTTTTAATATATTAATAAATTAAATTGCATATTTCGCTTTATACGGCATACCGCTTTGGCCGAACCGACGCGGCCTTTTGTCTATATGGCATTTAATGAGTTATGTGCCGAAAAAGTGAAATTTTTAATATAAATAATTATCGCTTGCTTTTCTCTTTGATACACACGGCGTCCAGGTCGCGTTCTTTGGCGTTGGCCACGCATAAACACATTTAAAGCATTTTCAATAAATTTGCATAAATTCGCACAACGTCTCCCTGATTTATAGCAAAGTATTTTCGCCTGTTGAAGCATCGTGTGTATTAAATCGATTAATTAATTAATATTGCGGCATTTTTACTGTGCCGCTAATGGATAAATAAAAGAGTGTCTCCTTCTTTATGCCAGATTGCAAATTAATTAAAACGCATTCATTTAATATTAAACGAGGGATTGAACTTCGCTGATTAGGAGCCGCTGATGTATATAATCACAAAAAAGATCCACAATGAAAATGGAATATTCTGTATTTATTCCATCGAAGCTCGAGCGAGATTTCACATATACGTGATACTTAACCTGAGGAATATAGGGGAATACAGCGCAGGTTCTGAAATTAAGAAATATAATTAGCCTCTTGAGAGGTACACAAATGAGCAAGATTCGATTCATGGAACCAAAGCACCTTTGACAAGCCCCCATCCGGAGACCGAGCGACCGCAAAAGCATGGTTAGAGCATTATCAGAACACGAACATAAACGGGAACATATAACATACTATATTATGTAGGGGGCACTGGGTGGTGCCGAAGCAGAACATGTCTCGTGCTTAAGGTTAATCGTAATCATGAATTGCACTTCAATTGCGTCATCCATTAATTCGAAGCTCTTATCAGGCGCTTTCAAGCGGCGATCTTAACTACTAACTAAAATTCGAATTTTACAATTAATAATAGTATTGACTTGAGTGTCATCCACCATACACTTACAGATATTAAGAAGCTTTTACTTAACACTGCTAAGGGTCTCCAAAGATTGGATTTAATTTAGGTTTATATTGGTTATATTATTATAACCCTTCAGGGTGTTTTCAGAAGCCTGTAAAGCAGTGAAGGAGTCATTTCCGACCCCATAAATCATATATATTCTTGATCAGAATCAACAGCAGAGTCCAACTAGCCATGTCTGGTTGACAAATATTTTTTTGACATTTTTGCCATTTTTTCAAAATTTGGTAATTAATTAAAATTGTCAAAAATTTACAAAAATTTTAATTTTTGTAAATTCTAAATTGAGTATGCAGACTTATTAACCTTATAAATACTAACATAGAACAGCTTTCCGAGTTAAAATTAATGCTCATTTGGCTAAGTTATGAAATTTTAAAATTTGTCTCTATACCACATTTCCATATAAAAATATAGATAAATATGGACTCAAAGAATAGTATTTTAATTTTAGTCACAAGCTTACAACTAAGTGAAGGAGTCATTTCCGACCCTGTAAATTATATATATTATTGATCAGAATAAAGAGCTGAATCGATCTAGGCATGTCTTGTTGATAACAAAATTTTAAAAATTTTCCCATTTTCTAAAATTTTATAAGGGGTAACATCGTTAAAATTGTCAAAATCGACAAACCTTTTAATTTTCGTAAATTCTAAATTCAATATGCAGATTTATTAATCTAATAAAAACTAGCCTAGGGTAGGTTTCCGAATTGAAATTAATGCTTTTTTGGCTTAGTCATGTGATTTTTAATCTTTGAAATGATTAAAAGATTGTCATCTAAAAATATTGATAAATAACGATTCCAACAAAGCAAATATTTTAAGCTTAGTTATGATTGAGTTCTGATACGATGTTATATTTCAATTGCATTTTGGCTTTCTGAAGTGTATTTAAATGAAATTTTAAATGATTTTATATTACATTTGGTAAGAATATGAGATTGATAAAACTAGAATTTGTGATAAAGACAAATCAAAGACCTGAATTTATATTTTTGAGATACAATAAAAGCTTATTTTTTAAATTAAACGCTGATAAATATTAAAATTCAACCACTTAAATAACAAAGAGCATTGAGATAATCAAGAGTATAATATTTTCAGAGTTCTCACCGATTTCTTCCAGTGTGCTTATCTAACCTCGTCAGACCAAACGAAAAGACGTATTTAAAACGCTGATAAGCTAACCAAGCAAAAAAAGAGCCGAGCTGCAAGAAGCTCGCTCCTGTGTGGGTAAGTATTTCGTATAGCCAGCAGGGAGAGTGAAAATGCGAATACGGAATCTACATAAAATCGAAACCGCGTGAAACGAGTTTTTAGTTGTATTTAAGCAAGCGGCTGTCGCGCAACAATCGCTCGAAATATACCAAGAATCGTTCTCCGTCGCGTTTGAATTGATTAAAATAGAAGCGTTTCCTTCTCGTCGGACATGTTTGCATCTATGCGGCAAAGAAAGCATCTAATCAAAATCAAAGAACGCCAACGCGCCATAGGCAGCTGCTTATGAAACAAAATTAGAGAAGCTTCCAGCTTCCCAAAAGTGTGAATAAGATCAACATATAAGAATAATAAATACTAGAAAAATGGCCTCCAGACTGTGGACACTCTTTCTATTCCTGGCCAGTGCCGACTACGCTTACAGTGCTCCGTACACAATAAATCTAAGCCGTACTTGTCCCTACCACAATAGCTGCAATACATCGGTCAACCAGCATCAAATCGAGCGCCTGATGAGCTACGTGGACAGTGAGAGGCAGCCTTGTGATGACTTCTACGCCTTTGCCTGCGGAAAGTGGAGGGAAAAGCACGGCAGCGATGCCACGGCCACGACCATAAGCGAGGCCCAGATCAACGACCACTACGAGGAGCTCTTCGCAGAGCTGCAGCGGAATTCCAGCTACTTCGAATTCCCCATGTACAGGAAACTGGCAACCCATTTTCAAGACTGCCTTGCTCTCGGCAAGCCCAACCTGGGCCGCTATCTGGAGCTGCTGGACCAGAAGCTGCAGGCGTCCCTGAAGACCACGCACTGGTCGGAGCTGCTGGCTATTCTGGGCCAGTACGGTTACCACGGCCATTTTGTACTGCTGGAGGTGCGATGGCACAATGCCAGCCACCACATGCTCTTTCTGCTCCCGCACAACCATCACCTGAGCCTGAATCTCACCCCCGACATTTACGATGCCCTGAGTCGCCACAGCCTATCGGACGGAGCTTGGCCCCCCTACGAACAGCTCCGGGAACAGTTCAGACTCTTGGAGCACAACTTAACCAGTCTGGAGAGGTCCAAAATACCCGACGACAGCTTTACCCACCGCAGTCTTAAGGAGATTCGAGCGGAAGTGCCGGGAGTGGAGTGGGATCAAATATTAAGACTGCAGCTGAACAGGTCGGTGGGAGGCAATCAGGCCTTTCAAGTGGACGACCTGGCGGCCATCAAGCGTCTGGTGGAGTATCTCAACCAAGCCGACAATCTGCTGCTCAACCGCTACAGCCTGGCGAGGTTCCTCAGTCATCTCGTGGGCCTGCCGCACAACCCACTGGCCGACTGGAGTCCGGATAGAAAGTCGCTGTCCCTCCGGTGCATCCGCCACATGCGCCGCTCCCTCTACCTGCCGATGAACTACGTCTACGAGCACAGATTTTACACCCATCGACGGAAAGCCGATGAGCTCGTCATCCATCGAGTGTTTGAGGAGCTGCAAGGCCAGCTTGAGCGGAATTTGGACAACAATCCTTTCAACCTCAGCCAGGGTCTGGTGTCGTCGCTGAAGGACAAAATACACTTTATGCGCATTAACGTGGGCAATTTGCCGCCCAATGTGTCCGACCAGTTCTACTGGGAGGTCGATCGTCGGTGGGTAGTGGGCCACGACTTTTACGAGAACCACCTAAACAGCCTGCTCTACTATTACTCGGTTGTCTCCGATTTGGAGGGCACAACGAACCAGACGGAGCGCGAGATTTGGTACAGCTTTAACATGCACCAGCCCGAGTTTCCCGACAACATAGACGCAACGCCGTACTTCTATTGCCTGGGCGACATCATCTTTGTGCCGTACTCCTACGTCCGCCTGCCCTTCTTCCACGTCGACTTCTGGCCGGCTCTTCTGTACGGGGACCTGGCCAACACTTTGGGCCACGAGATGATGCATGCCCTCGACACGGACCTGGTCGACTATGATGCGTGGGGTCACATGAGCAACTTTAGCGACCAGCTCGGCCTGGTGCCGAGCTACATGGACGCAGTGAGTTGCCTCAATGACAGCGCCGTGATGGTGAACGAACGCACCTCGGACGTCAGTGGATCCCGGCTGGCGCTGGACACCTACGGAGGCGACTGGATGGATAATCCGGACGATGGCCGCCTCTACTTCCTGCAGTTCGCGCACTTCTTTTGCGGCGACGAGGGTGACATATACCATGACACGGGCAGCCAGCGCCTCAACTATGCCCTCAGCCAGGTGCCGAAGTTCGCCGAGGTATTCGGATGCCAGAGCGGAACGGGGATGAACTCCGCGAATCAGTGCCGCTTCTGGTAGCGCAGTGAGCCCCTCTCTCTTAGTTGGTGTATAGCTTTAATTAGAAACCCCCAAGTATTGTGAATAAATTTCCATGTTTAGAAACTGAGAACGTTTCCCTTCTGCTGTCGTATGCGGCGAACCGACTACTCCCAGTCAGTGCCGACAAGGCAGACAAGTTAATTTTCAATTACGTGTCCTACGTGAGCGACCGCAAAATCGGCACGGAGTGTGGACCACAAGATGCTCCTGCCCGGTTGGAGTAGGAATCAAGCCCGGTCGAAACGACGTGCAGGCGGCAGCAAAACCTTTCAGTCGTCCTGCATCGACACACAAAAATTTGCCAGCTTTCGTGCCATGGCAAGAGTCGAGCACAGATACACGTTTGCGTGCCCCTGTTTGCCCACGGTGCGTATTTCGCAGCGTGTTTTTATTTATTTGCTAATTAGTACGCTTCCTGCCGCCTGCCGCATCTTTGTGTGTGTGTGTGAGTGTGTGGTCGATGCCAAAACAGAAAGAGAAACAGAAACCGTATACAGAGCACAGCATTCGAATCCGAGTCAACTCGGCGTGCCCCGTCAACTAGGCAACTTGTTGAAGGTCGTTGCGCGTATTACTCATACGCCGCATGGGCCGAGTGGAGTGGAGCGTGCTGGGAGGCGCGTGGCTGGCGCCCGGACTTTAACCTGGCAACCGCATTAATAGACCGTTAACTACCTGCCGGGAACACTGCACGTGAGCCGCGTGACAAGCAGGGGTCAAATCCAAGTCGTGGGCCATCTCTGATGAATGGCTGTCTGTCAGCCTGACTTTGCCTCGCGACAGTCGTAGAATTAAAGCGATTCGCTGATGAAGAACAATTGTTGTATTCGTAGGCACATAAAGCATGGGCTATGAATTAAACATAGATGGTGATTTTGTGTAGTGATAGTGAACCAGCAACAAGCGGAGCATTTCAACTTGTTAGTTTATTGCCAGCATAATATTAAAGTATAATAACTGTAAGTCTGCACTCAATTTTCTAAAGTTGTCTAGGACTAAACTTAAAAGTTGGAGCTATAAACAAAAGTTTTTCCCTTTATCCAATCATATTTTCATCCGGACTTCTTAACATTCTGAGGTCTAACTTAATGATCGGTTTACCCCTGTCTGGAGCGGCATAGTGCTGAGTCCAATGTTTTCAGATTTTAGGGCAACCGGGAAGCGAGACGCGAGAATCATGTCGGAACATATATCGCCCCTCGGTCGCTCCGCTGGCCTTATCAGCGCGGGCTTTCATTCATTCATGTAAGTCAAATCGACTGGGGAATTCATACATACATACATATAGTCCGATGGGCTTGCCTTATAATTAGGTTTTAAATAAACCGCTTCGCCGGCAGAAAGCGCGAGTTCGAGTGACGCAATCCAGCTGGGAAATTGCGCATAGTGTGAATCGGAAGCCACCGTCGCCGACACATAGTCAGTTTCGATCCGCACTGTAGCATGCTCGTATTCCAGGTCTTGGGGGCTTTGCTGGGATTTTGGGTCCGGCATCACGTGCTCCGTGGTTGCTGGCCGGACTCCGTCGAGGGAAACACGTGTTGCTCGCTGGGGTACGAGGGCAACGACTGGCCGGTTCCGCATTGATTGATTGCTCGCCGGCAGGGAATGGGACATTGACGGACTGACGGCGCGGCGGCGGCTGATGAAATCACAGTTTGTCGGAGCGTCACTCAAGCCCGGTCGTGGGCTTGTAATTGGAATAAGCAAATTTCACAGCGATTTATTAGTGCCAAGAGTGGGAAGAGACCTCTTGTGTGAGCCGCGAATGCCTGACTCAGCGATTAATTAGTTCAATTTCAATTGTGTTGTTGCGACAAACTTCATGATAACCTGCACCACCCTAATTAACCCGCACAGGAAGGGAGGCCCCCGTGCAGCTCATCCCCCCACCCGCACGAGTTGCCAAAACAAATGCGCAAAATGCCAGGTTCGGCGCCATCAACACAACATCCAGAAGCCAGAAATCTGCGGCGAGTCCTCCGGCTCCGGTGTCAGCGCCAGAGCCCGGTGGCTGCTATTCGAGGCTCACCCACACCCATGTGTGTGTCTGTCCATCGGCCTGCCGCCCAGTCTAGTTGGTCCACAAAGCCAAGCCGCGTGTGTTTATTATATAACAGTCTCCCGGTCTCCCTCCCGCTCTCCCCACCGCTGACATGTCGCGGCATTTCAGCTGTTAGAAGCGACCACAATGTTTCTAAATGTTTTTCGCCGGTTTTTCGGAGATTGGTTTGTCTATTATTATTTTTTTTTTGTCTGCTTGTTTGAGTAACTACATATGTACATACATTTGTACATATGTGGCATTTGTCCAGCCGATTTCTGTTTGCCGTCGTTAGCATCATTGTTGTGCCTTTTATAATTGCCAGATATGTACATACATACATACACAGACAAATGTAAAAAACACGTGCTGGATTTCACACGAAAAGCGAACTTTGGGAAACAGAGCAATAAATCATTTTATATACATTCAACTTTTTCAGTGTTCATACAATTATTAAAGCAAATAAAGTCCAGAAAACCGAAATTGTGAAATTCTAATCTTTATAATTTTCGGGGGGAACTGTTTATACATTGCAAAAAACAAGTATCTGAAATTGGTAAGTTACTATATATTTTTGGCAACTATTTTTGAAGGCGAAAAATGTAAATTTTACAGGCATATTTTATATGTAATACATAATACACACATGAATTTGGAATAGAGGTGAGAAATAGAGAGAAGTAGGTATTATTATATGTTTTTTATGTTGCAAGTTATTTTTAATTTAATGTTAATTCCAAAATTTCATTGCTAGGGCTTAATACAAAATCATCTTTTACTATTCATTCTTTAATTCCCAATTTTACCAGTGTATGTACTTTTGAAAAGATTAAGCAAGCGTATTTAATATAAGAGCTTCTGGGAACCGAATGGATATGTTTTTAATAGAGAAGTAGTATTAAATCCTTGTATTCCTTGTACATTATATAATTCATCCATTTGTTGTCAAATTATATTTCGTTGTACTGCTTATACACTTATATTTAAATAAATAAATAAATTAAAAAAAGAAATTATTAAATCCGTAAACGAAAAACAAATTGGTGTCTGCAGTGTCATTAGGAAGTTAAAGAAGCTTATCAACCTAAACCAAATTGAGGCTAAGCAAAGAAAGCTATTATAATTATTATTTGTATTCCAAACTTCTCTGAGCTTCAGCAGTTACGTCAATCTCGCAACGAGGCAATACTCTAGTTAAATGATATTAGTATTTTGACCTACAAACCCTTTTGTATCCGATAATATTTCGGTCATGAATGGAGTGCAGTTCAAATCGAAACAAATAATTTTGGGACTGAAATAACTTAAAGCCGTTGTCCTAGCAGGAAAAGTGGCAACTGGCAGCCGGCAAACAAATAAAACCCAAATATGCCGACAAATATTGCAGCTCTCAAAAGTATGCAATCATTTATTGAAATTTTCAGCAGTCAAGCGGCGATTTGTGCTTGCCAATGAATCCTTGTGCACACATTCATTCCGTTCAAAACGCTCCCCCGTCCGGGCATATGTGAGTGTGGGAAACTGCAATTAACTAACACACAAACATTGGCCAACACAAATTTCGGGCGCAGGACGAACTCTCTAGGATGCAGCACGCAGGACATTGACGAGTCATAAACGGGGCTTGTATATTTTGGTCAGTTGATTAATATGCGAGCTGTAATCATGACTCAAAGTGTGGGATCGTTGGGCCTGGGCCCAAACCTCTGACTCTGCCTGTGTGCATCGATTGCCGGGTATGAGCAAACACACCAATGACACAAATCCCGAGATGCGTAACGAGAATTTCAATTTCGAAGTGTGCCTGTGACCGGCTCAAGTCACAGGCTTTTTATAAATGAAGCCCACAAGGCGGCAGTGACATCCGCCGCTGGCGCCCGGCTCGTTTGCATATTAAGTCTGGGCCGAAGCGGAGCGCCCCGATTTTAATTAGTTTTAACCCGCGCCAAAAATGAGCCAAGCTGACAGCCGTGACCAGAATCACGCAGGCCGGAGTGCCATCGTCTTTGCCTAGCCTACTTTAAGTCCGGTTTAAAGTTGGCTAGGCGCAACTGTCGTCTAACAATAGGAACAAATATGAGTGGTAAAGAAAAACATGTCCCAATACTAGTAGGATGCACATAAACACACCCAGGCGAGGCATATCGGCGATGGCCGCTCTCATGTTGGCAAACATATGAAATGGCAACGTCGTCAGCGTTGATTATTATCAAACAGACAGCGAAGAAAGACGAAAGACAGTTGTCGACAGCATCAACAACAAGATTCGTTAAGTTCCGGAGTCAAAGCTAAATCTACCGAAGGGATACGACCAGGATAACACTCTATTTTAACGCTCCACTAAATACAATGTTGTTTAAAGCGCTAAGTAAGATTCCACCATGTTCATCAATCAGTTCACAGAACTGAATGATTAACTTAAATATATTTTGCTATTATTTTTAGATTCCAATAAAAGAAAATATAAGTTATCATTGGCTGTAGCTCCTACATTCCTCATAATGTGACATCCAACTAGGTGTGTCTTTCGGTTATGCCCAAGCGGAAGCAGAGCATAACCAGACACCCAACGGTCGCAGGGCACTTGGACTGGCTCGTAAAGTCAAACGATGTGAAGACTCTGCACAAACACCCCAACTCGCCCATCTCCCCGTCCACTGGCACATATGTGCGACCTGTCAGTTACACGGACGGAGAGACGTTCCTCGGGAACGAACCCCTGCGGCCGCCCCGGCTATCTTGCACCGTTTTATCGGCAAAGCTCCCCTCACTGCGGCTTTTATTTGTCAAACAAAGTATTTTTATTGGCTTTTTTAGGGAGCTCTACCCCTCGGTATCCGAAGTCAGCTGACGGCCCGGCCTGACAGAAGCTCGAGGGGATCATGGGGAATAGTCCGGAATGGCCAGGAGCAGTGGCAGCGGCAGTGGCAGTGGCAGGAAGCGGAGGCCAGAAACGAAGGCGATGGCGGCGCGTGCT